AAAGCCAAAAGGTAGGCAGAGCTGCAATGTTACTGGCTGCACAGATTTGAGTTCACAAAACACATGCGCTTCTGCTTACTGGCACACAGCGGACTGTTTGGCAAAGTTGTGAATGTGAGGTCGGGGGATATTTCTGTTATGTTTCTGCTGCATGCGCCACATACATGGATCTGCGCATCAGTTGAGCGCAATGTGGCAACTCAGTGATGAAGTGCTCCCGAAATGAAATTTTATGGGTGTTTTTCCACACGTGTGGCGAGAAGGAGCCGGCACTCCATCTCCACGCTCGAGCTCGGCCATCGGTGTACGTGACTTACTTCGAGGTCCGGATCCTGCGTGGAAGTAGGAGAAAAGGGAATCCAGCTCAGCGGGACAAAACAACGACTCTCGTCTCGACTTGGCAGCAGCTGAAAAGGAGTCAATAACAGAGAGATGTCAGTGGTCAAACACAAGAACGAGTTGTAAGTAGGGTGGGGCGATTTTGGCCTTTTACGAATCGAAAAAAAAAAATGACAATGACACGTTTTCGTCAGTGTTAAATCTTTTGCATCCTCGCTGCGGCGTGATGGCTTTCAAATGATACGATGCGGCCATGTCCTAATTTCAAGTGGTGTGCTTTTAGTGTCGTCCCACACTGTGCCGCAACGTCCCGGACGGCACCGAGATCTACTGGAAGACATCCAGCACAATTAAGAAATGAGAAGAAGCCGAGTTGGTTGCTACAAAGCTGAAACGATGAGTAACGGTGTACTGCATTGTTTGGTGACATCTGTTGCTGTTTAAATATGACAATTTGTATTTTGTTGTAAGCGATGCGATCACGTGTGGGTTCAAGTACGGGTTCACGATTACCGGAACATCGATGCTATTTTCTGCTAGCCGTATGTGGCCTTTCACACGCTATCTTAGCATTAAGCTCGCTGAGCGATGTTCATTTGTTTGACTTTGGTTTGGTTTGCAGTCCACTTGACTTGGGAGTGACAAACAGCTTGAAGCAAGCACACCGAGCGAGCTTCTTATTGACTGTTCTCATTTTATGGGTGGCGATCAAGGAATATTTGAAACAGTGTTTTTATCATGGCAAATGTAGGAGGTGTAAAATCGTCCTGACAAATTCACTATTGCCTGATGGGTGGGAGGACACGGCGCTAAGACGACAATGATGATGGGCAGGAACCTGAAGAGGGGCTGGCTGGCGAGGCGCTCCGGAGCTCCTCTCTGTACCACGGCCGCGTCTTTGGTACCGCGGTAGCGCTGTTGTGCCTGCGACACTTCTGGACGCGCCGGCGCCGGGTCGACTTCATGTCGCCGTTGAGGAGACGGGGCTCGGCGATCAGCTTCTTCACAAACTTTTTCTCCACATATTTGGCCTTAATCCAGGCCTCCTTCTCCTGCCTTGCAAGACCGGCGTGGCTTTTGGTGGGCTTTGAATTGCTTTTGCTTTCATGAGCAATGTCTAACCCTGCATTTCCAAGTACATTCTCCTACCTGCAACTGGACGCCGTGGCTTTCCTTACACCTTGCCCTTCGTGATAGGAGCCCTCGTAGATGTGTTTGACGACACCATTGCCCAACTCGCACATCAGCTGAGAAGCAAAAATAGCAAACGTCAACCTGCGTCGTGACGCCCACCTTTTTTGTTCCGTTCCCATGACACGGAACGGCATTTTCTTTTGCTTTTGGCCCGTTTGTTTTTAACCCTACAGCAGAGTTAGGAGTCCACCTTGCACATTTAAAAGTAAAAATACATGAATAAATAAACACGCAAATAAATAAATGACAGAGATGTTGACAATTCATTTTCTCTGCACAGCATACACAGTCTACGGCAGGGGTGTCAAACTCATTCTTGTCGCGGGCCACTCTGGAGTTACGTCTTCCCTCGGAGGGCCGTTAAGACAGTGAAACCGAATAAATGTTTAACCATCATGTCGTATTATTACTTGTACACACAAAAAAAAAAAAATATGATGGCTCACTAGTATTGGAATCAGTCAAGTATTTGTACAATTATTGCTCACGTGAATATAAACGGGAACAAAATGATTGCAAAATGCCACCGTTATTTATTACGTATGATAATTTGAGGTTTTGGTACATATTTAAGCAAGGATAAAGGAAGTTGACACGGATGATTTGCTTTGGCGGGCCACATTAAATGACGTGGCGGGCCAGATCTGGCCCCCGGGCCTTGACTTTGACACATGTGGTCTACGGTATATCGACAGATAAGCACCCCTGCATATGTGCTGTATATACAGTGCATGCGCATATCCATTTGTGCATGCCGAGTCAAATGTTGGGCTTTGCCTTGACAGTCATGCTGGCCGCTCAGTGTTTCACCTTCAATAACTCGGGTTCCCACGAATCCAGCGTGAGCGATCGCACTTTGGAGCAGTGAACGCCGAGACTTCTGGAACCAGACACAATGCGGCAATTCAGCGAGACAAGATGGCGTCGGCAACAACGGACGGATATTAGTCAATCACTTGGAAAATAGACACTCGGCACGACACCGAAGCTAATGTCATGCTAATTCTCCCAAGTTCCGCGCACGCCGCGGCCGGTATCCCGGCAACAGGCAACGCCGTGTCGTCTCCTGTGTGACTCGGAGGACGCGGCATGAATATTCAGCAGCCGGCCAGAAATTTCAAAGGGGAAATATTCCTTTGCAGTGCCCGCTCACCCATCGAGAGTGAAACTAAACGTCCAAGTCATAACTTTCATGATCTGACCATTTCTGAAAATGTGTCTGTTAGCGAGCCCTTCATATCGAGTTTCTCCGCCCATGACGTGGTCCGTAGCAGAGTGAAGGTCTGCCATTTGTAAGCCTTATGTCATCGCCAAAAGACAAGTCGAGCTGCGGTGTTGTTTGATGCACACGTTCGTGTTGGCTCAACCTGTCTTGCCACTGGCTCAGTATTATGCGGAGTGATTTGAGGACCGGCTCACTGCATGACACAGATCAGCCCCTAAATGGAGCCAATTTCACCATGGCAAGAAATATGCCTTTCCAAGACTCTGGGGCTCCGCCGAACCACTGGCAGAGACCATTATCCACAAATGGAGAAAACTGGGAACAGTGGCAAACATTCCCTGGAGTGATCGAGCGGCTAAAACGACTCCAAGAGTGCTCATCCAGGAGCTTGCAAAAGATCCAAGAAAAACATCCAAAGAACTCCAGACCTCCAAAGAGAACACAAAGGCTTGTCTTGCATTTGCCAAAAGACAACCTGATGATCCCCAAGACTTTTGGAAAAACATCCTGTGGCCTGATGAGTCAAAAATGGAACTTTTTCGAAGGTGTTACATCTGCGGTAAAAATGGCAGTGTTTGATATATAGAGCATCAGGCCAACAGTGAAGCGTGGTGGTGGCAGTGTGATGTCTGGGGCTGCTTTGCTACCCCTTACTCTGGATATTATATTTATGATCTATATCTTACTATATATCTTGATTATGGTTGTATTTTGACAAAAGCATCCCAAAGACATGGTACTAAGATGCCCCGCAATGGTTTTAACTGTGAAAAATAATTTTTTAAAAAAACATTCAGAATGTTTCCGAAACAGACCTGTGGATGCCGGAGCACTCGATGCACAGCAGGATCCCCAAATTGATGGACGCCCAACGAGGGTCGGCCTGACCACAGTCGCAGCACTGCTGGTTGCCGGGTAGGCACAGGATCCTCTGCAGGATGCCATCGCCACGGCCGCTGCGCTCTCGCGACTCGCCGGCCGAGTCGACGCTGCTGGTGGATGGCGAGGCCGCTCTGTCCAGATGCTATATGACACACACACACACACACACGCACAGCAGGATCCCCAAATTGATGGACGCCCAACGAGGGTCGGCCTGACCACAGTCGCAGCACTGCTGGTTGCCGGGTAGGCACAGGATCCTCTGCAGGATGCCATCGCCACGGCCGCTGCGCTCTCGCGACTCGCCGGCCGAGTCGACGCTGCTGGTGGATGGCGAGGCCGCTCTGTCCAGATGCTATATGACACACACACACACACACACAGACACACACACACACACACACACACACACACACACACACAGACAATCTGAATGAAAACAGAAGATAGAACACACCTGGCGTTGAAACCCCGCCCGTTGCGAGCACAGCCCTGCCACTTACAGCAGTACCCAGAATCCTTTTCGGGTTTGACGTGGGCGTCATTGATGTGGTCCACCAAGTCCTGTAGCGACCCAAACAGCAGGTGGCACTACAGGACACACAAACCGAGTCGGTTCCAACGGAGTCCAAATATCACACGTTCGACTTGGTTTAGGGTACAGTATATTTAGGGTTTAAATTATAAGAGTAGGTTATTCTGAACTCTTTTTTCGCCCGGGGGGGCTCATGTACTCGAGTCCAGGGCTCACTGTACCGTATTACAA